CTGACTCAGTGAGCTGTTCAGAGCACCAAAATCCCTAATTCAAACTGCTGTACCTAGTTTTTCAAGCACTAAAATGCTAGAGGGAATTAGAATGGTGATTACTGATGAGACTCCATTTTAAAACTCCCAACAGCAGGACTCTTTCATAGGAGCCCTGGTAGCCATTCAGACAGTGTCCACACAGCCATCTAGTAGTTAATCTCTTGAACCTCATGTAGCTTGAGTGAGAGGGTCTGAAACACCTATCAAGCAAGGTGTGTGGAAACCATTCTAGTTTAAGAATCTCATGTTCCTAGAAGCCAGTATCTCTTGTAAGTACTTCATCAGTGCAGCTTCCAGGGTCCCCTCAAAGACAAGTCTGGTTAAAGAGTCACCACTCAGAGACACCCAAACTCTCGTCCCCAGCAAGGATTACAGTTCTGTCATCTAGATAAAGGCTATCAACTAGAGCCATTTTTACCATAAGCAGTGTTGCCTCATGACATAACTGATCATGGTGACCTTTTAGGTTACCAGGAGAATAAAGTAAGAAAGTCTAACTGAAGGTTTAATTCTCATGCAGAGAATCCATTAACCCTTTATCCATAGGAAACATTTGCTTTCCTTCTAAAAGGTGGAGATACACAGTTGGTGTGGAGTTTTTCCCTTCTCCCTTCATCTTCCTGCCTGGAATAGGAAGTGATATCTGGAGTTACACAGACCTTGTGTGACAATAAGACAACAACCCTGAGGAGACGGCCAAGAGAAGCAGAAATATTGATCCTGATACCATGAAGCTATTGAGCCAGCAGCCACTCATCTCTAGATTTATTTATGCAAGACAAATACCTGCTTATGTTTATAAGCTAATGTTAGATGGACATTTTGTTACTTTCACCCAAATGCACTCCCACATTCATGGCATTCTAGAGCTTTTCAGCATTACGATCATCTGTTTCTCTTGCTGAGTAGCATGACGGCTCTATTGAATATTAATTCTCTAATATTGTGGAATATGCTTTTGCTTAAGGATTCCACATTTGCATAGCAGTCGAAGGGTTTTTCTCCTATAAGAACAACTCTAAATTAAGACTGTCCACAAACAGTTGTCACCCGCCTGAAATGGTCTGAGCCAACCAATGTTCTTAATTTCTTTGGAACAGTCTGAGCTGGTACAGAGAAATGAGTCTTCTAGAATGCTAGACAGCTGGATGCAGAGGTGTAACTCAGGGCACTTGGGCATTGACACTGGTTCCTGATCCTTCCCCACAGCCCTCTCATACAGATATGAGGTTGCATCATAAGACCCCACCTCATTAGACAGTCTGATGGAACACTCCCTACCCTGGCATTCTAGCTAACAACAGAACTGTTGCTGAGATGTGTTGCATCTACCCCTGTTTATCAGATAAGCAGATCCCATAAATCAGGAACTTAATTAAATCTTACCCTGGTGGGATGGCGTGGGTATGATCTTTTCCTGCCAATCAATAAAAACCAGTTGCTATGGAGCCACTTCCAACTCTTGGCAGCCCCATTTGTGTCAGAGTAGAACTGTGCCCCACAGTTTTCAGTTGCTGATTTTTCAGAAGTAGATCACTTTCTTCTGAAGCATCTCCACATAAACTTGAAGCACCAAACTTTGGTTAGCAGGTGAGCATGTTAACTATTTGCACCACCAAGAAGCTCACTCCTCAAAAATCACAGCCAGCTAATTGGGTTGAAAACATCATGACCTATTATGATCTGAAGAAAACAAGTTAAAGCTTACTTAAAACCACATTTAAACTGCTGGAAAAAAACCATTTATGCCTATTTGAATTGGTCAAAATAGGTTCACATCTGTTTGGATTGTATAGTATTGGCTCCAACATTTCAAAACTATTTTTTATTCAATTTGAGCAACACTGAACCAGTTCACAGCAGTCAAAATTAGTTTGAGACAGTCAATACATTTTGAACCAGGTCGAGTTTGTTTAGCCTGGGTCAAACAAGTTCCCTGAAAGGAAACTTGGGTAGATGGGCTTCAGTTTTCAGGCTTCAGTTCTTTGCTAAGTAAGAAAACCACAGAGGTTTAAAAGTTTAAAGTCATTTATTTCTGAAGATTAATTTACTTTTTCCCATAAATATTCATAAAAATCAGCAGCTTACTAAAAGTAATAAAATGCATACTATTATTGATTATAACATAGCATCAGGGACAGGAAACATCATCCTGGCAAAGAGAAGGATCCTAGTAAAGACAATTTTCACTCTTATGTTGAACCCTAGAAGCAATCTCCAGAAACTCCTAAAAGAGCCCCATGAGGCTCAGACATACCCAAGCAACACAAAGGTGGCTCTGTCAGCACCAAGAAGCCATTCTCCCCAAACCAAAGAGTGATACAGAACAGAGCTATCAGTTGTATTTTTATAGAATGGCTGAAATGCAATATTAACACCTCTCCCCAAAAAAGAAGAGAAGGGAGAAGGAAAATGGAGAGTCTGAAAAAAAGAACAGCCTGAACTTTGATGCAATTATATCCACCATGATCAAGACTGTTATTTCATAATTAGTGGCATATACAGACACATTTCAATCTATTAATTAAACCATCAACATCATGTATAATGCAATTAGTGAAGATGTAAGTAAATGACATGGTCAATTTTTCCCTGCATCAAGGCAGGCCAATCAATTGGGCCTTCTCTCCCTCCTAAACTATCTACATAGCCCTCAAATAATCAAATACCTAAGCACCTTGCATTGTGACAGCTGTCTTCAGCGTGGAGGCAGCTTTCAAGCAAGTTTTGCAAGAGAAACAAAAAGTAAAAGTACCTCCCCACCAAGAAAGAAAATGCAAAGTCACTTACCAGCCACAAAACTTGGAAATGATGCCACCTTCTTTGTTTGCTTTGGAATAGGAAAAAAATAAGACATAACAGTTATAAGCAGATGATACTTAATGTAATGTGAAAAGCTAAATCACATGACAGACTAGTGTTCCTCAGAGGTCAATGCTACACAGCAAATCAGTCTCATTCAGGTAACGTGATATTGGGAGGGAGAACATGTAATCAACTCCCAATGACAACTTTGGGGTGCACAATCCTAAACCCTAAGGACCCTAAAACCTAACGACCCTCAAATTAGCAAGACATTTGTAGAATGGAGCCTAGAGATCATCCAACCCCCTGGCTCTCAAATGGCTGGTATTAGAATTGCCTGCCAAATGTTTTAAAGCAAGATAAAGGGGACAGGCCCCTGATCTGTGGTAGGCCATGCTTTTCATCCAAGTTGGAAAATCTCATCCAAACTACTCCCCAGAGAAGATAAATAACTTGTCTGAGGCCTCATTTCAATAATTTCTACCATGGCAGACTTATTTTATGTGGGCTTTTTTGTTTTGTTTTGTTTTTTAAATCATGTTGTTGGTTTAGAACAAAACCAAACCAAACCGAACTCACTGCTGTCGAGTCGGTCCCGACTTATAGCAACCCCTACTTGGGTTTCCGAGGCAGTATCTCTACGGAAGTACAGTAATTTTCAATAGGGATGATTTTGTCCCCAGGGGACTTTTGGCAAAGTCTAGAGACAGTTTTAGTTACCATGATTGGGGGAAGAGGGCTCTATATGTTTAACAGCTAGTGGGTAGACACCAGGAATGCTGCTAAACATCCTACTGTGTACAAGACACCTCTCACATCAAAGAATTATCCAGCCAGAAATGTCAATTGTGCCACCGTTGAGAAGCCATAGTTTAGAACATGGTTATCAGACCACATAGTAGGATTAGTCTCTGCCATGTGCCATCAGCAATATCTAGACCCACAGTGGTGTGATCCTAAACCAGCAGGAATGGCCCTCATCTCCTCCCCTACAGGGAAACCCTGGATGCCCTCTCTCCTGGGTAGCTGGTGGGATGGGAACACTGGGGAGAGGGTAGGGGAACAGACCATCAAGGGCATGCAGCTCTAACAGTAGGGTCTTGACTAACAACAGCCTCAGAATTCTCATCCTCAGGAAAAGTTACCTCTGGAATGTTGTTGTTGTCAACAGGTCCATTGAGATCAGAGCGCTGCTGCTTCCTCGGCTGTTCCAAACCATTGCAGACCTGGAGACCAGGAAGTTAAAAATGTTGTGTTTATATGCTAGACAAATAAACCAAGACAGAAGATTGGACACACATACATGTAAGACATGCAACATGATACCAAATTTGTAAAATGCACATGCATGTATGAATGTGTGCATATATATAGTTGCATGTATAAGTTAATATATTTTTATCTTAATTTTTTTTTTCAATTAACATGTATACTTTTATACCTCTGAAAAAGTTTTTTAAGTCATATTTTAAAAAAATCTAAATGTTCCACTGAAAACAAACCCAAATCAGTCAATCTAATTTGCCCCAAAGACATTTCCTAAGTCTTCTCTCAGGAGCTCTGGTAGCATAGGGCCTAAGGCAGTTGACTGCTAACCAGAAGGCTGGCGATTCAAACCCACCAACCACTCCTCGGAAGGAAGATAGGGCAATCTACTTCCATAGTGATACTGCCTTGGAAACCCAAGGAGGGGTCACTATGAGTCGGGTCCAACTCGATGGTACATAACAACAACAACACAAATCTCTTAAAGAAGGCTTCAATCCATAATTACCTTTATTCAATGAAATTTAAGGTTTAGGTATACTTTTCTCCACTTGTGCCACCTTGAAGCCAGAAGTTAGATCCCATTAAAGGGAGTGTGGTGAGCCAGTATGTTAAGACAAGTTCTAGAACCTTTTGGAAAATTATCAGTCAGCAGCAAGATCATGATGACAAAAATGATGACAACAATAATAATGCTGCTGCTGCTGCTGCTACATTTACCTACTGCTTTAGAGTTTACAAAGCCATCCACATATGTGATGTATATTCCCACTCCTGCTTTATAAGTGAGAAATGTGGGGCTCCAAGTGTTGGTTTTAACTGCTGGGTTCCCCCAGCACTTTTGTGATAAAGCAAGGTATAGCTGCCAGTCCTACTCCCTATCCTGTCATGTTCCTTGATATAGGTAAAATTCTAAGGGAGTTGGGGAGGGTGTAGAGAAAAAGTAAAGAACCTGACCCCACCTTCCCAGCCCTAAGAACTAAAATGACATGCATGGAACAGCCAGGATTCCTAGAAAAATGCCACATCCTTGACCACACACACTTCTTACATCAAAGGCAGATGGAGTGCAAGGAGATGGAAGGGTAGGGATGGGCTTTGAGGAAAGGCCTTTGAGTATGTGGAGAATTTGAACATAAGGGAAAAGGGAAGACATAGCCATATCCAAGAGAAATGTGGGTGCAAGCTGTACAGGGCTAGCCTTCTTGGAGCTGGAGGGTGCTGAGGACAGCAAAGCCCAGGTAGGTCAGATGTGGCTGGCCTGCCTCCCAGCCCCTCTGCTAGAAGCCCAAAGGACTATCCCTGCCCCTGAGCCCCAATAACTCTCAGATGGCCTTGCCCTCTCTCTGCTGTCCAAGCATGTCCCAAGGTAGAACTTCTGGGTTGTCTGGGCCTTCTGGCATACTCCTAAGTCTTTCCTAGTTCTCCTTCCCAGAACCTGGACTGATCCCTACCAAAGAGGCTGGGATCTCCTTTGGGCTCCACTCCCCAGTGAACACCAATGTTGACCAAGATGAGTGACAGTGCTCTATTCTGCAGGGCCGGGGCTGGCCCTGGGACCACTCCCTTAAGGGCTCTTCAAGAGCCAGGTTTGTTTTCCAACCATGTGAAAAGACAATGGCAGGACTGCTGCTTGCCTTATGGTGTGTTTGGCACATAGAAGAGATGTCCACTGTGGGGGATGCAGGAGTCACAGCTTGGCCAGCCTCTGTAGCTTTGTGTGAGGAAAAAAATATCTCTCCCTACTAAAGGGCATAGCTTCTGGCCAGACTCCACAGCTGGGCCAGGGGTGCATATGCTAGATGCCAGTATCCATGCCACCTCTGTGGGACATCTTGATACAGGGCCACAGTATGGGATCTCTTTGGGCAACACAAAGACTCAAGCACACTTAAAACTGATAACTTTTCTCCAAAGCCTGTACATGCTAGAGGCTTTCTTCCACATCATCATTTTCTTTAACTCCCTCCCAACCAAGAGTCTACTCATCACCATAACAACCACAGCTCACATTAAACAGCATGGATTGTTTTTAAGAGAGGCAGGAAGGAGGGTTTTGGATGTTTCCCTTTGAGAGGATCCATCTGGTACTCTAATTTCCATCTCAGGGTCTTGGCAGCATGTGGCGACCATGTGAAATTAACACTGCTAGAGGTCCACATGCTACGCCCGTGCTTACCTTGCTCCCGGAGACCCGG